ACATTTTATTAGTCACAAGAATGTTAATTCAGAAACAGAGGTAGGCAAGGTGCAGCTATTTATGGGGTTAAAGATGTCCCCAGATAATTTGTGAATGGGCTCTGGATCTGCAACCTTCCAAACTCTCCATAGTCATTGAAGTGTTAGTCAGTTGGTCAGCCTTCCAGGAAATTCAGCTCAGCATGCAGGAGTTCTTTCTGGGAACTTTCTCTCACACGATCATATGTGTGTTTTTTTTTTTCCTACTAATACAGTATAAAACAACAAATGCTTTTATAATCCATTATTGGCATCCTGGGAATAAAAACTCAGTTAAATTTTTTTTCTAAGATTTATTTGGTGTGTGTGTGTGTGTGTGTGTGTGTGGGTGGGTGTGTGTGCCTGAATATATGTATGTGCACTGTATGCATGCAGGTACCCTAGGAGGTCAGAAGAGGGTGTCAGAAATCCTGGAACTAGAGTTACTGGTTGTCAGCCACTTGATGTGGGTGCTGGGAACCAAATCTGGTCTTCTGGAAGAGCAGCAAGTGTTCTTAACTGCTGAGCCATCTCTCCAGCCCCTGGAATTGTTTTAATAAGCTGCTCATTCCATTTGCTAATATTTTGTTAAGAATTTATGCTTTGAATTCTTTAAATTTTTTTTGTTTATATTATCTGTATGAGTGTTATGCCTGCATGTATGTATGTATGTATGTATGTATGTATGTATGTATGTATGTAGTGCAGTGCTTGTTGAGGTCAGAAGTGGGCATCAGATTCCCTGGAATTGGAGTTACAATATTTGTTAGCTGCTTTGTGGGTGCTGGGATTCAAACCTGGGTCTTCTGCAAGAGCAGTCAGTGCTCTTAACGCTGAGCCCTCTCTCCAGCCCCATTTTTTGTTTTGGGGTTTTTTGTTTTGTTTCATTGTTTTATTTTGTTTTTTGGGGACAAGGTCTCCCTGTAGCCACAGCTGGCCTGGAACTCTCAGTGATCCACTTGCTTCTGCTTCCCAAGTACTGGGATTAAAAGCATGTATTACCATGCCCAAAATGCTTCAAATTCTTAAAGTGTTAGATTTTGGGAAAATAAAAGGAAAGATAGAGGAGTAAGAGACGAGAAGCCAGAGCCAGACCTGGAACAGGCAAGGAATATAGCTTCCTTTATTCAAAGAAGATACAGTGAGAGGTAGGGGCTGTCTACAGAAACTAAGCTTCTACTAGACAACGAAAATGGGGGATTTTTATGCCAGGGTTGTGGAACACAGCTGTGCTTAGTGGGGAGTTGAGTTAGTGCTGGGGTTTGGTGTTCTTGGAGTGATTGAGGGTCTCCTCAAGATTATTTCCCTAGAAACTGACAGGAGTGTTATCTATGGCCCTAGAGGAGTCCACAAACACTTTCTCTCAGGCTTGGGAGTGACCAACTGGTAAGGGGTGAGGCCGAGCCAGGCTTGAGCAAGGCCAGGCTGCCAATTTAGGGCCACTTTAAGGGATTTGTAGCTTTCCCTAATGAGGCTGTGGCTCTTCTGCAATCCACACATTCTATCGTAAAGGACAACTGTTTGTAGCTTCTTTTTCTTGTGATGTCATTGTCCGTTGTCTGGCTTTAAATCAGAGTGATGGTGGTAGTCTTTCTTTTTTTCTTTCATTCTTCCTCTCTCTCTTTCTCTCTCTCTCTCTCTCTCTCTCTCTCTCTCTCTCTCTCCCTCTCTCTCTCTATAGTCTTTTTGAGACAGGGTGTCCTGTATCCCTGTAGCCTCAGCTGGCCTGGAACTTACTATGAAGACCAGGCTGGCCTTGAACTCACAGAAATCCTGGTGCCTCTGCCTCACAAGTAGTGGGATTAAAGGTGTACGCCACCACACCCAGTGGTCTAATTTTTTTAAAAATTATTATTTTTATGTGTGTGAGTGTATTGCTTGCATGTAGGTAGGTGCACCCATGTTGTGCAGTGCCCACGGAGTTCAGAAGAAGGTGTCGGATCCCCTGGAACTGGAGTTACGGACAGTTGTTAGCTGCCATGTGGGTGCTGAGACTCAAACCCTGATCCTTTGCAAGAGCAGTCGGTGCTCTTAACTGCTGAGCTATCTTTCCAGCCCCTCATTTCTTAAATGGTCCTGCCTGCTTCATTAGCTGTTTGGAAAAGTTTGTGAAGGATTGCTGTCAATTCTTCCTTAAACATGTGGCAAATTTTACCAGCAAAGCCATGTGAGGGTGGTGCTGGTCTTTCATACTGGAGATTTTTGGCTATAGATTCCACCTTCTAATTTTATTTCTAATGAGATTTTTTTCTTCTTTGCTCAGTTTTAGTAGATTGTTATTTTGAGAAATGTATCTGTTTCATTTAGATTATCCAACTTGCTGTTGTAGCAGTTTCTTCTAATTTATTCTATCTCTTCTTTAAAAAGATTTATTTATTTATTTATTTGGTCTTTTTGAGACAGGGTCTCCCTGTAGCCCCAGCTGTCCTGGAACTCACTATGTAGGCCATCTTGCTGGCTCTAACAGTCTCATAATAGAGTCGTTTGTAGATTACTTCTCTCACTGCCCATTTCCCCTTCTAAGTTTGGTGCTTTGTGGATTCATAGCAGAAATTTGACATGTCATTTTTTTTTTTGGTCTTTTCGAGAGCTGGACTAGATTCACCATGGAGACCAGGCTGGCCTTGAACTCACAGATATCTGCCTGCCTCTGTCTCCTGAGTGCTGGCACTAAAGGCATGCACCACCACACCTGGCTAAAAAAGATTTATTTTTAATTGTATGTTTCTGTGTGTGTGTGTGTGTGTGTGTGTGTGTGTGTGTGTGTGGTTTACCACTGAGTGCAGGTCCCCAAAGAGTCCAGCAGAAGACATCAAATCATCTGGGGTCTGGAGAGATGACCCAGTGGTTAACCAGGTTCGAATCCCAGCACCCACATGGTGGCTAACAACTGTCCATAACTCCAGTTCCAGGGGAATTCGATGACCTCTTCTGACCTCCACATGTATTGCACAGCATGAGCGCACTTACATATGTGCAGGCAATACACTCATACACACAAAAATAAGATTAATAAATAATTTTTTTTCTTGTGTGCAGTCTTTATTTCAAATGTCAAGACACCATTAGTACTCCTCAGGACGAGCGCAAAGACCATGCTCTGTAGAAACTTAGACAACATATACAACTTTGTCAGAATCACTTCAGCTGCCGTCCAGAAGGGTAGATGCCTCGGATCCAGTTGCCCATGTTGTTTAGAATCTCAGGGGCTTTGTTGGCTGGGCCCGCAGTGCTCACCGTGACCCCACTGAATGTCATAACAGTACCTTCCTGGTCCCCGCAGCTGGGTCCAAATAAAATATTTTTTGAAAAGAAGGCATCAGATCATCTGGAACTGGAGTTTCAGACAGTGTTGAATAGGTCAATGTGGGAGCTGGGAACTGAACTAGAGTCCTCTGGAAGAGCAGTATTTGCTCTTACCCACTGGGCCACTTCTCCAGCCCCAGTCTAGTGGTAATACTTCTACTTTCATTTTTGAAGTGGGTACTGGAGAGTCAGCCTACTGGCCTGAACCATGCTAGGCAAGCATTACATCACTGAGCCTTTTTTTTTTTTGAGACAAAGTCTTCCACCCCAGCTGGCCTGTAATGTGCTATGTAGACCAGGCTTTCCTTGATCTTACAGGGATCCTCCTGCCTCTGCTTCTCAAGTGGTGAGATTAAAGGAGTGGACCAACCATGCCTGGTCATTGAGCCCTTTTTGTGTTTCGTTTTAGGCCTGCCTGGCCTTGAAGTTTTGATCTTGCTACTTCAGCCTTCCAAGGAGTGGGATTACAGGACGGTACCACTATACTCAGCTACACTTTCATTTCTAAATTTAATAATTTGTGTCTCTGCTCACTTAGTTTTATTTTTATATTTTTATTTATTTTGAGACTGTAGCTCCAGCAGACCTAGAACCTGTTAAGTAGACCAGGCTGGCCTCAATCTTCCTGCAGAGGCAGGAAGATATTTGTGACTTCAAGGCCAGCCTGCTCTACATAGCAAGATCCAGACTAACTGGGGCTACAGGGAGGCCCTGTCTCAAAAAAAAATTTAAAAAAAGGTGCTTGCTTTAAGGGCCAAGTTCAATTCTGTATAAAGAGAGAACCATCTCTTCAAAGTTGTCCTCTGACTTCCATATACATGCTGTGGCACACAAGTAGGTCCCTCCCTCAAATAAAAGACAAATAAATAAATGTAATGAAGTTTGTAAAAAATCAACTTTGGGTACCATTGATGGTCTTAAAAAAAGTCCCTGCTTCCTGGATTCCTGCTCTGATATCTTCTTTCTTTCTAAACGCCGTATTTTCCTTGCATTAATAGTTTCTCTTTTGGCAACATTTTATTTTTTTTATGCTTTTTTGGGACTTTTTGAGACAGGGTCTCACTTGTAGCCCCAGGTGTCCTGGAACTCACTATGTAGACCAGGCTGGCCTTGATCTCACAGAGCTCCGCCTGCCTCAGCCTCTGGAGTGCTGGGATTAGAGGGGTGTGCTACCCACGCCCGGCTCTGTTATGTTTTTGTTTGTTTGTGTACAGGGTCTCAAGTGGCCTGGGCTGATCTTGAGCCTCGGCCTCTACCTCCTAAGTATTGGGCTTCAGGCTTGGACCAGTACTGCAGGCTTGCCATATTTCTTGGTTGAAAATGTGCAGCTTGAGAGATAAAGTGTGTGCAATTACTGCAATTCCGGCTGTGGGGACTAAACACTGAGTGTGTAATCGACTGTGCACACTAGCCACCCTGTGCCTAAGAGGAAGAACAGGAAGTGCACACCGAGTTCAAGAAGACCTACTCTATCCAGCAGGAGCAAGTTCTGATTAAATGTAAATCTCCTTTTACCTGAGACAGGTCCGTGACTGAAACTAAAACCAGGGATGTCCCTTGTCCCTGCATCTCCACTCCTTCCCAGAGGAGCTGCTCATTCCTGTCACTCAGACCTCATTAGCCAATCAAGGCCGCCTAGTAGGCCGTCCAATCAGGAGCGCGGACGGGCGGCGGGAGGCGGGGTCTTTCCGGCCGCCATGATGCAGGTTCCGTTCCGCGTGGGCGCCAGTGCTGCGCCGAGAGCGCCGCTTCGGGGAGTTGAGGGGAGCGCGGGCGAAGCCGGAAGCCGGGTCATGGTGAGCGTAGGGCTGGCTGGGTCCAGATGGAAGCAGGGGCCGCTGGAGTCCCCCAGAGCGGGCTGTGCTCCCGGGCGGGGCGGGGCGGGGCGGCAGCGGGACCAAAGTCCTGTGCGACTCGGGACCCACCCTGGAGGCCTTTGGGCAACTCAGCTCCCGTGCCTGCGCATCTGCGCAGATTGCGTTGCCGGGGGCGCTGCCCGTGTTGAGGCAAGCTTCCGTGTCCGTGACGTCATTGCGGTGCGCCGGCCTACGTCTTGTCTTGGTGTAGGAGGGGAAGGCAGGTTGTGAGACTCACGGTCTGGTTTTTTATCTTCTGTAGGTTTTTTGCGTCTCTTCATATTTAGGTTTAGAATAGCCTGGGAGTTAATTTTGTGGAAGTTGGCTTTTTAAATTTATTTTTATTTTATGTGTATGAGTGTATTGCCTGCATTTGTGTTAAGTGCACCCGTGTCATGCAATGCCGGTGTTCAGAAGAGGGCATAGGATCTTCTGGAACTGGAGTTAACAGACAGTCGATTACGTGTAGCCGCCGTGTGGGTGCCGGGATTCGACCCCGGGTCCTCTGCAAGAACGCTTGCTCAGCCATTTCTCTAGCCCCAATTTTCTGGATGTTTTAAGGTCTGGGGGTAATTCACATGTTTGCATATAGATATCAAGGTGATCTGGTAATATATGTTACTAAGATGATATTTCCGGTTTCCATTCCCCTTTTGTCAAAAATCGATTGAACCTGTGTTTGTATATTTATTTCTGGGCTTTACTAAAGTTCATCTCTGCGAAATAGTACACTGTTTTGATTTTTGTATTTTTTTGTTTGCTTTTTGGAGTCAGGGACTCCCTGTCGCTTCTGCAGGCTGGAGCTCACTACGATTCTATTGTGTTGGCTTTTTAAAAAGAAAGTTTTATTTTTATTTTACGCACGTTAGAATTTTACCTGCGTGTATGTAAGTGGACCTATGTTGTGCAGTGCCGGTGGAGGTCAGAAAAGGGCATTGAGCCCCCTGGAACTGGAGTTACTACCGTTGTTAGCTGCCATGTGGATGCTGGGAACTGAACTCAGGTCTTCTGGAAGAGCAGCTGGTGCGCTTAGCTACTGAGCTCTCTTTCCACCCACCCCATTTTTTGAGATTGACGCTCATACAACCTAGTCTAGCCTCAGACTTGCTACGCAATTGAGGATCACCTTGAACCTTTGATCTTCCTCTTTTCACCCACCTCTGGAGTGCTGGGATTAAGGGTGTGTGCAGCCATGCCTGGTTTTATATGATGCTGAGGAAGGAATCCAGGATCCCAAGGCTTCCTGCTGCCATGGCAAGCTTGCAAGCTCTTTACCAACCATGCTACAGCCCAGCCTATGTGTTAACATTTTGAGTGTTTTCCCTTTCCATATAACCTTTAGAATCAGTATTCTTTTTTTGTTTGTTTTATTTTGAGAAAGGGTCTCCCCATAGCCCCAGCTGACGTGGAACTCACTATGTAGACCAGGCTGGCAAGCTTGCAAGCTCTTTACCAACCATGCTACAGCCCAGCCTATGTGTTAACATTTTGAGTGTTTTCCCTTTCCATATAACCTTTAGAATCAGTATTCTTTTTTTGTTTGTTTTATTTTGAGAAAGGGTCTCCCCATAGCCCCAGCTGACGTGGAACTCACTATGTAGACCAGGCTGGCCTTGAACTCACAGAGATCCACCTGCCTCTGCCTCCCGAGTGCTGGGTTTAAAGGCATGTGCCACCGCGCCCGGCTTTATATATCTTTTTAAAGATAGAAAGTAGAGAGTATTCTCATTAAGTGGTGGTACTTATGAAGGATTGTTTTTAATGCTTGAATCTTACATGGAAAAAAACTAAAGTATAGAAATTTAAAA